ACAACGTCAAAGATAGCTGCCGGACACTGCATCCGGGTCCGGTGAGTTTGCTCCATTGGAGCGGGAAGGGGAAGCCGTGGGTCAGATTAGACGCTAACAAACCTTGCCTTCTGGATCATCTATGGCAACCCTACGATCTGTACAGACTTCCGCGCATTGAAAACAGAGCACAAGATTCGGCTTCACCAACACCCTCATCGTCTTCGACATTGATTAATTATTTAAGTTATTAGATTTGGAGATAGAATTCTTTGGTACAGAGTCACCAATTCTTTCATTGATTAGCGGTGTACAGATTTGGGAGATGGGTTCCGTCACAAGTCGCAGGGGAAGAAGATCGATTAGTGAGACCGATCTGGTTTCACTTTTAATTAACCCTTTTTTATTTACACAGGATTAAAATTCCATCATTCTATTCAATTTATATTGGAGATTTTTGTGTGTTTTGTGGGGTTGGATTCTTTTTGTATGTAACGAGAGGAAGGAATTGATTATTCAGATTTTTGTTATCGGAAAGAAAAATGAATAACAGGCTGGTTATTCTTATTCTTATTCTTATTCCCCTCTGTGTTCAAGATTTTAGTCCTCAATTTATTTTATAAATTTATTAGATTTTCATTCTACCTCGTTTCTTTTACCCAATACTCAATCAACCCGCTTTAGAATTCTATGTTAAGCCGAATAGGCCAAGAATTTAATTGACAAAGGATATTTAAAAGACATGATTTATAGACTATAATTTTGTAATTAAAAGTAGGAGGGGGAGGTCCCCCAATAACTATTATAACTTATTCTTTTAAATTTGTAGTTCTTATGTAATTAGGATTTAGGAGATGGTTTTGCTTTTTGGTAGCCCAAAAGTTAAAAAGGGAATGTGATTTGGAGTTTGGTTGATTTAAACGCCAAGAGAGCAGAACGAGGCTTTGGAAGGTAGGGAATTCGGCACTTGATTTAATGTTATTGGATAATATTTTTCCACCACGATCTTCTTATTTCATAGTCATATTTAAACATGGCACAAAAAGAAAACAGAGAAAAATTGATAATCATATTTTAGTTAAAACCACCTGTA